CTGTGCATAAGAGCGATGACCGCTGGGGGGAGTGGGAGAGGCAGGAGGCTAGGCGGTTTCTGCCTGTGTCTGAGTTGGGTTTCCAGTTCGAGCTAGATGAGATCGAGGTGTTCAAGCTGAGCTGAGAGAGGGAGGAAGGAGGGAGGGGAGCGCTAGGTAGCCGGGGGCGGGCTGTAATTTCGGTGCAATGTAACATTACGTAGGTAGTTTTTGATTCTGTTGCTCTTTAGCAAGGCTTGCTTTGCTTTGCAAAGCATTTTATAGCATAGTTCCCCCCATGCGGTGAGGAATCTAAAACTTTTAGTGCCAGCTAAATAATAAGTTGCTCCGGCTGCACGTTTGGCTTGAGCTGGGCGGGTATTTGGTACCTGTGTAGCTGCGTGGGTTTTTCTCATCGATGGTAGCTGCACGTGTTGCGTCGCGTACAGGGAGGGGCTGGAGGCAGGAGTTTAGTCTCTGGATGGATGGATGGATGGATGGATGTGGTGGTCTGGGTTTGGCCCCTGTTGATACACACATACAGATATGCTTGACATGGCGATGTCACCCTCACGTGGCATCGACTCACCGACTAATTGGAAGTGTGAAGTGACGTGCGGGCGCGATGGATGGCCAGGCATCACTTGGGATAGCGCAAAGGCGTTTTGTGGTTGGTATTTCGGCTGCCTCTTGCACGAAGTAGACAGGCCACATGCTGGCAGGCAGCCATTGAGGTACACTCACGGCACGGCACGGCGTGGGAGAGGCAGACTGCCGTGCAATTCTATCGGGCTGTGTCTGAGTTGCGTTTCCACTTCGAGCTAGATGAGATCGAGGTGTTCAAGCTAGCCTGAGAGAGGGAGGGAGGGGGGGATACACAGACTGAGTGACTCTATGATGTGCATGCCTTGAGTGAATTGGGTGCATGTCGCCATGAGTGCCTGATCCGCCCGCACAAACAACGACCCGACACGCAAAGACCAAACCCATCCGCTTCGATGGATGAATGGACGTTTTCTCGTCATGTCACGTCGGCGAACGTGTCGGCGAGGCCATTTCCTCTGTGCTGACCAGGTCTGTCCGCCAGAAATGAGCTATGTATGAATCATTGCTCTCTGCAGACCTTGATGCACTATGGCACATGCAGCCACCACCATCCTAAACATCCATCATCCAACACCAGCCTGTAACGAAAAGCTTCCTGATCGGCATCGGCTTTTTGCGAACTTATACTTCTGGACGGCTGTTCCTCCCTTGGCACGTCCCTTGGCGCCTCTTAGCCCAGTGATGCGGCCTGGTGCAGCAGCTGGCTCAACGAAGAACGATCGTCAGGGATTCCTTGAGCGCTGAGGGTGTCCTGGCTTGAGTCCGGAGATCTGTGGCTGCCATGGCGCTGGGGATGGAGATGATGGTTGATGTGTCGACTTCTGCTGGATCTCCGATGCTCTTCGGCGCCCAGCCAGCTTCGTGTGGATTCTGCACATTCAACCATCGACCATCCCCGCTGAGGCCGCAGACCTGGCGAGTGCTCGACAGACGGCGGCCGACCACTGTCCGCATGCAAGATCAGCCACCGCAGGCGCCACCCAGCGCAGGCACATCGTCTCTACTTCAGCTCAAGACGAGGAGGCCTCGCAGACAACACCGCTTGAAGCGCATTGTGTGGCTCGGCGAGGAGCCTCAGGCATCCACCAACACAGCAGCAGACGATGCCAGTGCCGAGGCTGCACCTGTTGACCATCGGCGAAACGCCACACGAGAACAGCCGATACCAACAACACCGTACAGCAGTACATCAACATCATCGTCATCGAGTGTGGCCACTATTGAGGGCTTCCGCGGCTTCCCTCTGCGGTCACGCCACGAGCTGGAGAGGATGGCGCTGCAGCCACTGCCCAACCTGCCTGCCGACACCCAACACAAGGCCGTCCAGCTGCGCCCTGGCCTCACTATAGAGTTCTACGACAACAGATCTGTGGCCTTCGGCACCATTGCAGAGCTCCGCAACTCGACTCGATCGCTGGCGGTGGTCGTGGACGTGCCCCTTGTTGAAGAGGGGAGCGACCGAGACGACGCGGCCTCTATCGAGAGGAGGGTGATTGACGTGGGTCAGATCTCCGACTGCTGGTCGGATGTCCCTGGTGCGGTCGACTGGGCCAGCATTCACCGGAAGGCGTCGCAGCTGATGGGCAGCCTCGCACCGGAGTGGACTCTCTCGACCGTGTGGCGCCGGCTCTTCCGCAACCCATCCATCGGCAGACCTGAAGCCAAGCGCCTGACGTCCAGTGAGCTGGCCGGGCTCATCTGGCATTCCCCCATCGACACAGTGGGTGACACCACCTCCCTCTGCGCTCTCCGCGTGGCCACAGCAATGATGGTGCAGCGGGAGCCACACACGTTCCGGCGAGTGGCGTCACGCTTGATCGTGTCCGAAGAGGGCAATGTGACGACGGTTTATATCGGTGGCTGGAAGGCGCTTGACGAGGCGACGGCCGCCATCCGGGAGGTACAGGCGGCCGTCAGCTATGTTCGGTCGTGTCAGGAAGCCGAGAGCAGCGGCACAGGCAGTGGGTCGTCAACTCTTCCGAGCGACCCCGCTGTTTTGGCGCTGCTCCGTCAGCTGGAGCTGTTTGTCATTGCCAATGGCGCGGCAAATGGAAGTGACGATGATGACACAGCTGCCGAAGAAACGACTCCCGCAGCAAAGCAAGGTGAGAAAGCCGGAAGACATACTCTGGGGAGGAATCATCCTCTGTCTGTGGATGTCTGCAGGGGCGCCATTTAAGGTGCGGGAGCTGCTGAAGCGCCTCAAGAAGCCAGTGACAGCAGCAGGGGGCGTCGATGTCCTGGAAATGGCCGGCTGGTGGATCCCTGATGCTGATGCCGACAAGACGGACACAGACACAGACGCAGGCACCCAGTCGCCCGAGTCACGGAAGCGCCTCTCTGCGCGGTTCCTGTCCGACGAAGTGATGCATGAGATGAGGGCGGCCATCGAGAGGCAGCGGGACCTGTGGGCGAGGTGGTATGAGGGGCAGCCGACGGTCAGAGATGGGATGGTGGACGTGCCACTGGAGAACTTCGGCTTAATGGATGGAAAGGCAGACACTGACGGCCCATCTGCGCCCCCATTGCGATGCCGCGACTATCGCCATCTCAGGTGAGGGCTCTCTCTCCCTGATTTGGGCTTGCCTTATGTGCGCTGCGGTGGTTCTGTGTCTGTGTCTGTGTTGTGTTGCCGTGTCACCCATCCAGGTGTTACGCGGTCGATTCGCAGCGAGCCAGCTTCTATGACGACTGTGTGGCTATCGACCCTGCCACCAGAGATGTGTTGGTCTTCATATGCGACCCCGATCGGTTCATCGTACACGGATCCGAGCTGGATCTGCTGGCCAGGAGACGACTCAAGACGGTACGGTGGGCAGAGGGCTGCCTGCAGTCGTTTGATGCGATGCATAGATAGAGTCCTTCGTTCATTGTGATATATATATATGTATATCTCCCTCCCATTTGTCTGTGTTTGTACGTGTGTGGGCTTTCAGATATACTTCAACTCGCAGCTATCGGTGAGCGCGGGGATGGGCGGGGTGGGTGGGCAGATCTGCTTGTGCACGAGGGGCTGGGCTGCGTGTGTCTGTCTGTCCGTCCGTCCGTCTCGTGTATGCCATGTGTGTATCTCCTTCCTGCGTCAGATCCACATGCTGCCAAACTCACTCCTGCGGGTATGTGTTCAGTCAGTATACGCACAAAGACACAGCATGCCATGGCATGGCTGCTCACAACCAACACATCATATGCCATGCTGTCTTCCTTCATTCCTCAGGAGGCGGCCCTGCAAAGCCACGCTGCCGTCGACAAGACCGGCAGACCGCCCATCAACCCTGGTACGTACGCATCATGCCGCTCGGCAGCTGCTCGAGTGCAGCCATCTTTCCATCGGGCTGCCTGTCCGGTTGTTTGTGCAGTGATAGGTGCGTCCCTGCGCGAGGGTGCGGTCTTCCCCGCCGTCATCGGCCCCATCACACCCGTCACCTTCGCGCGCGCATATGATGTGGACGATGTGGCGGCAGTGGCGGGTGAGCTGGGCATGGACCTGGGCGGCAGCGATGGCGAGAGGATGGCGCAGCAGATGGTCGGGAGGGCTTTGCTGCGGTTCAGCGAGAAGAGCAGGGCATTCGTCAAAGGTACGTGGGTGCACCGCTGGGGGGGAGGAAGAGAGAGGAGGCGCAAACACAGAGCGGGCAGCGAAAAGCTGGTGGTGTCTCATAATGTGGGCCTCTCCTCTCCGTGTGTTTGTGCGTCCCCCCACAGATAAGGGCCTGTTTCTGCCGACGTAAGAACGACATCAATCAAGGCTGGTGTCAATGACCGGCCGCCCCCCGTGCGGTGCCTTATGCGTCGTGTCATGTTATCAGGTCTGAGTTGGAGCCGTGGAGGGGCGTTACAGGCGGCAAGCAGGAGCGGCAGCGGCGATTCGCCACGCGGCCGCTGAGGTCATACGTCTCACTCCTGCAGCTGCGGCAGCTCAAACGGGCTCTTGTGCCCTCAGACCAGGACGGACCGAGGCCACTGACACAAGACGATGTTGACATGAGGGCACGATAGACATGGATGTGTTGCGGGGTGAGTGCAGTGAGCCGAGGAGGGGTGCGCGGTTGACGAAAGAATTGATGGCCGTGCATGTCTTCATTCAATGGGGCTATGGCTACATCTACTCGATTCCGTCAGTGCATCATGACATCATGACTTGTCTTGTTGAGACGCAGCAGTTCTCGCAGTCATCTTAAATTTGCGGAAGGTTCGGACATCGTGGTCGGGCAGCATTTCAGCCAACATACACACACACACCTCGCTCTCATGCAACGATGCACTTCGGGCCATAGACATCCCAGCACCAAGATGCACTCACTCTCTCTGTCACATTGACAGGCCATCGATCTGTCGGAGCCACAGGAAGTCCCTGACCTTTTCCAGTCGCTCCCCCACCCACAGCAGGAGTGCCGCTGCTCTGATTGACCAGCCAGGGCGACACTTGAGATGGCAAAAAACACCCGCACCCTCACACACACAGACAGGCTCACACAGACAGACACACACACAGAGAGAGAGAGAGAGATTCAGCAGGCACCGCAGGCAACGATTGACGGAGAGAGAAGTCAACCGGACGGTCAATATATGTTTAGATCGACACACACGACGGATGGCGAGAGACAAAAACGACATTCGTTCATCGCGCTCACGCACACTGATTGATTGATGAGAGGAAAAACTACAAACCAGCCGTGGACACATCACACATCCCCTCACACGCACCCGCTACGCGCACACGGCGATAAAATGGATGGATGGCCCAAAAAGAGGGCCTGCACATTGATTGGTTGATGAGCGAGACGACCGACACAAAAATAAGAAGTGGTCAGCGATTCGATCGGTCCACGAAAAGGGCAAAAAGGGCACACGGAACACCAACACAACAGAGAGAGGATCGCAGCAATCGAAAACTACAGCATGCACAGCGACACAGGTAGGTCGACATTTGGTAGAAAAACCAATCTCTCATCTGTCTGTCTGCAACCTTCTGCCTGTGTGGGTTTGTGCCGGATCATGACCGCTTGATGGGCTTGACCATAAGGCCTCTGGGCTTGTAGCTGCACACACAGACACGACACGAGGAAGGACACACAACACGCGGGAAGGAATGGCAGGCCATTTGTGGTGTGTATGTGTGTGCGAGTCAGTCAGTCACGTGATCGAGTAGAAAAACTCCGGCTCTGTCGTGATCTCGAACTCATAACCCTTGAACAGGGCCGCGATTGTCATGCGAACCTGAAGAGCCCCAGAGAGAGGGAGACCACACACCACACCGCTACCATTTCGTTCTGTCTGTGTGCAGCGATTGTCCCCCCTGCAGCTGTGCGGAGTTACCTCAATCAGCGCCAAGTGTTGGGCAATGCTGCATTGCACAAACAAACCGACGGACGAGAGAGTGCCAGCCAAGTCAGGCCAGCCAGAGAGGTGTGATCTGATCTGATGTAATGTGTTGGACCGTCGCACGCTCTTACTCACCAAGATCTTGGGGCGATGCTGAAGGGCTGGAACAGCTTGTTGTAGACCGTCAGCTGCTCCTCGGAGGCCTCAAGCCATCGCTCCGGTCGAAACACCTTGCCATCGCCCCAACTAAGGCCATTACACACACACACACACACACAGACACAGACGACAAGAAGGCAGTGGACAAAGCACTTGTTCCCTTGATGCGTGTCGTGTGTCTGCTCCCCCGGTCGCTGGCATACATTCGGTCGTCCCTGACGCGGGCGAACAACGGTGCGAGCATCTGATAGCCGCCCGGGATCCAGTAGTCCACGCCACGAGAGGTGACCTTGAAGCCGCTCTCTGTCTGCCGTCGGGTGCCGTTGCTCACGACGGGAGAGCTGCACACACACACACACACACAAACAAGAGATTAGGGATGGATCGATCTCGGTGTGTTTTGTGGTTGGTTGCTGACATGCGCATGATTTCTTTGACACAGGCGTTGAAGTAGGGCAGGTGGTTCAGCTCGTCGTACGAGGGAAGCTCCTCCGCAAACGTGGCCGCATCCAGCTCCTGTACTCCACACACACACACACGAACGAGCGCATCAAGGCCTGCCGCCTGCATCTCATCTTGCTTGCAGGGGTCGCTCTGTCTGCCTGCCCCGTCGTGTTGTGTGTGAGTGTGTGTGTGCTCTGAGCTACCTGTTGGAGTTTCTTGAGGACACGGGGATTGCTGGACAAGTGATAGACAGCCCAAGAGATTGTGTAGCCAGTCGTGTCGTGCCTAGATGGATGGATGGATGGATGGGACAGACACACACACACACACACACGACGGCACCATAGTGGATGCATTCATTCGAGTGCATGTGTGTGTGTGGTGCCCACCCACTTACCCGGCCCAGAGGAGGTTGTAGATATCGCAGAGCTTCTCGAACTCACACTGGTAGCCAGGATTGTTGTGGATATACGAGATGATCGACGTGGCCTGGCCACACACCAACCACACCATCGAAGACACTCTGCTGCGTGCGATTGTCAGCGCAGCGAGCGCTGAGCCTCACTCCACCCACGTCTTGTTTGTCCGGTGGGGTGTCGAGAAACTGGCGGTATATCTTGCGGCACACGTCGCGGAAGAGCCGGATGGATTGGTAATACTCGCGCACCTCACTGCACCAGACCATGTAAGGCCTGCACACACACACACACACACAGAGAGAGAGAGAGAGTGACGGCTGCAAACACACACACAGGGCGGTTGGCGCACCGGAATGGGTTGACGTTCGAGTAACGGGTCTCACGGAATATCACGTCAATGGCGCGGAGGAGGGCCTTGGCCTCGCCATTGCGCTCGTCGTCGAAGGCGTGGAACTTGTAACTGACACACACACATACAGACCATCGACACATGAGCCGAGCCGTTCTGTGTTGGCTGATCCTGTGCGTGTGTGGGTGTGGTGTGGTGTGGTGTGGGTACTTGTATGCGACCTCCCCGATCATGTCAATGGTGTACCGCAGCCCCCACTCGGGCATGTTGACGACCATGCCTTTGTCGGCAGCGTCGTCGAGGGCCTTGCAGAAGCTAGACAGCACTCGGTGGTAGATGGGCGTCTTGGCCACCAAGCACTTGTTGCTGAACGAGCAAACCAAACAAGCAGGCACATCCAATGCAGCCAGCCCATTATGCGTCCTCATCTGTCTGTCTGTCTGTCTGTCAATGTGGACGCAAGGCATACGTACGAGAAGGCCGGGGCGAGGGCCTTTCGGATCGCGTGCCATCCCTCTCCGCTGGTTTTGCGCGTGAGGATGCTCCGCGTGCGCGTCATCTGGCCTTCCCCGAACAGATCGAGCTGCCGAAGAAAGTGGGATTTCTCGAGGCCGGCGGGTCCGATAAGTGTGTCCCAGCAGGTCGTGTCGGTGATGAAATAAATGCGCTTGCCGAGGGGCAGCTGCACAAAGAAGACGTCGCTGTCGAGCTCGTCACGCCACTTCTCGGTCCTGACACTCACACAAACGCCATCCATGCATACGAACGAGGCCGCTGCTTGCTGTCTTACTAACTACTTACAGGTGCGGGTCTTTCCCCGAGCGCAGCGCATCAAATGCCTCCATAGGTGTGAGCTTCACACGGGGCACCTCGCACAGCTTGTCCTTCTCCTCTGGCGTGACCTGGCGCAGGACGTCCGGTCGCCCACCTTGCTTGCCACCGACGCTCGATGACGCATTGGCGGGCTTCTTGCGCTGCAGGCGGAGAACCTCCTCGAGGCCAACGAGGCAGACGACGCCGGCGGTGGCGCCAGCGAGGAGGGGCAGCAGAGACGATGGCTGCTCGAGATCTGCTGTCGCCGGCATGGTGGTTGGTTGCAGATCCAAGGGGGGAAAGGGACGGCTGGCGCGAGCCCGGGGCTGCCCAGAATCCAGGATCCAAGATCCAAGTTCGGATCCAAGTTCCCCTAGTCGCGAGAGAGTGGCGAGTGCTGTGGGCGTCGCGAGAGGCGAAGAGGGAGGCGCGGAGGGGCGGATAAAGCCACCGCCGCTATGGTGACCACGTATGGGTGATTTGAGACACCCATGGCCACCCACCTCGTGGCCAGTCAGGCCAGGATCACGGCAGTGATTCACTGAATGAATGAATGACAATGATCATCATTGATTGATTCGAATTCATTGCTTGACTGACATGCAAGCGCACGCGCGCTTGTGTGACTTGAGAGAATGACAGAGTGATTCGTTCGTTCATGCCTTATCCAGCGGCACGTTCCATTGCAGAATCACTATCATTACAACTGGAGCAGAGCGATCAGTTGAGAAAAAGTCCGTTTCACGATAACGAACGGCTCGGACATCGTGGTCGAGCAACATTTCAGCCAACACACACACATACACACACAGCGCGTCCACGCGCATGCCCTCGGTCGGGAGTTTGTCTTGTGCATCTGCCTGTCTACGCCGTGCCGTGCCACGCCACGCATGTGACACGTGAGTGTACCTCAATGCCTGCCTGCCAGCATGTGGCCTGTCTGTCTACTTTGTGTAAAAGGCAGCCGAAGTACCAACCACAAAACGCCTTTGCGCTATCCCGAGTGATGCCTGGGCATCCATCGCACCGGCACGTCACTTCCTCCAATTTAGTCAGTGAGTCGATGCCACGTGCAAGGGTGACATCGCCGTCTTAAGCATGTGTATGTGTATCAACAGGGGGGCCAAACCCAGACCACCACATCCATCCATCCACAGACTAAACTCCTGCCTCTAGCCCCTCCCTGTGCGCGACGCAACACATGCAGCTACCATCGATGAGAAAAACCCACGCAGCTACACAGGCACCAAATACCCGCCCAGACCAAGCCAAACGTGCAGCCGGAGCAACTTATTATTTAGCTGGCACTAAAAGTTTTAGATTCCTCACCGCATGGGGGGAACTTGCAAAGCAAGCCTTGCTGAAGAGCAACAGAATCAAAAACTACCTACGTAATGTTCCGTTGTACCAAAATTACAGCCCGCCCCCGGCTACCTAGCGCTCCCCTCCCTCCCTCCCTGCTTCCTCCCTCCTTCTCTCAGCTCAGCTTTAACACCTCCATCTCATCTAGCTCGAACTGGAAACCCAGCTCAGACACAGGCAGAAACCGCCTAGCCTCCTGCCTCTCCCACTCCCCCCAGCGGTCATCGCTCTTATGCACAGATGCCTGGCACCTCTTGAGCGGCACGTCCGCCGGTGCTGCTGGGACCTGCGCGCCGGCTGCCATGATGCCGATGTCGAAGCGGCCCGTGCAAAGGACGCACGGCAGGCCGGGCCCGGCAGTGTTGGCCAGGTCGGCCATCTTCAGCTTCTCCTGCAGCCCCGCCAGGTGGATGCCGCTGTCTCCGATGTAGCCTTCGTGTGGGTGTGCGGCAGTGCCTGTCAGCTTGAAGTTGAAGGCATGCGGGGCACAGTAAGAGTAGATCTCCTCCTCCGGCCCCGTCACGGCGATCTTGCCATTGACGACGCTCGCGAACAGCTCGCCGGTGCGCTTCGCGCGGAGGATCAGCAGCAGCAGCTCGTACTCGTGGGCCTCGACCGCCTCCAGCAGATCTCCGAAACACCATCCATCTACACTCGCCCTGAGACACACACACACACAGACATAGAGAAGGAGAAGCGATAGCGTGCCACAGGGGGGATGCAGTGACGTGTCAGCTCACTTATATAGGCGCAGGACAGACCCGCCAACGTCTAAGGGGATGTCAGGGAAGGCAGGGAAGCTGCGGATCTGCGCCGCCCACTGCTTGATGTTCTGCAGGTGCTGTATGCCAGCCAGCCCGAGGAAAGCATCGGCGTCGATGCCGAACACGTCGAGGGCCCAGCGGAACAGCTTCGGGTTGGTGTTGCCCATGGCCTTCCGGACGTCAGCCGCCGTGATGCCCCTCCGCTGCTGGTGGGCCCGCACCACGATGTCGACCACACGACGCGCATCGTCCAGCCCACACTGAGTCGACGGATCATACCTGAGTGACACCACAGATGGATGGATGGATGGCCACACCGCCCCATCGGTGTTTGCGCCTACTTGGTGAATCGTCCGTAGAGTGTGCTGTTTTCGCCGTCCGGCAGCGACTTGGCCGCCGCCTGCGTCATAGTCACCGTAACGCCGCGGGTCTGCTGGACAATCGACAACAACTGAAACAACACGCCACCACACGACGGCGGAAGGATGCACCGATGCACCATGGCATTTAACCTCTCTCGTGTCTGTACCCACCTGATCATCCTCTACGTCGCCCGTCTTGAGCATGGGCTCGATGGCGTCCA